CGTCATGGCGGGGTATTGGGAAAAGTTTTCAATTAGCAATAATCGCGCCTCGGATTAACCTCATTGGCTACGATACTGCCACTGCGCAAAGCTGATTTGTGATTCCCGCCCTCCCGGCCCCAGCCCCGCCGCGCCCCTGCCGCGCTCAGGGCGAGTGGGGCCGCTGGGGCCGGTCCCGCTGCCCCCCGCGCACCGGTCCCGCCTGCGGCCCGCGCTGCGCTGCCGCCCCCGGGGATGGACCGGGAGGCCACGGAGGGATGGAGCGGGGGCCCCTGGCACCACCGGGACCCGCGGAGGCTGCCGGGAGGGCACTATGTTAATGAGCATGCGGGAAGGCGCTGCTCGAGCCTGGGGCATTGGCCAAAAATCGCTTTTTTCCATGCCGGGAGGGAGCGCACGGAGCGGAGGGGGACACTCTCGAGGAGCACCAGGGACAAACGGCGTCTGCCGGGTACCACCTAAGCAAAGTCATCACCCAACAGTTTAAAACACGTTTAAACTCCTGAAGTATAAATCACTGAAAGTCGTTTAGACTCACGACGCTGCCAAGAAGACGCTTGCACTCCACACCAAAGCCCAGGGACAGAGGGACAGGCAGGGTGGCACTCCACACCGAGCGAGCAGGATACGCTTCTTCCTTGTGATCACAAAATAACACACTGCTACACGGTCGCTCGGCCTTTGAAATAACTGTAAGAGGCAAAAAATATTGATTAAAACTTTCTAACTTTCTACAATGTTTTGAACTGTTTAGCAAGAGCTCTTTGATGAATGCATTTGAAATGCAGTTACAATCTTTAGAAAGAGCCCATTGTCTGTAGAACTGCTGGACATCCAGTGCAGCAGGCTGCTACCATGCAGCAGTCTGGCCTTCCTCATTATTTGTTCCTCAGAACAAATTTCTCATTTGAAGAAAAGCCAAGAAAAAACCAAAAACCCACACCCATACGCAAACGTTTTCTGCCTTATTGCCAGGCAAACTACAAATTATCAGGTGATTATTGAGACTGAAACCTGCACCAAGCAGAGAGGCACGATGGGTTCCTGCCAGAGTGCACAGAGTCTGTAGCAGACAGATTGGCACTGCCCTAATTCCCAAGCTAGATGTCTTTAACAGCCCTCAGTGGATTTTTCTTCCATTATTTATGTAGCCACATTTTAAGCCTGAAACATATTAGTATCAGTTAAAGGAAAATGCATCTTTTATAAGGACAAGCACCTATAATGCACTTTATCAAAGCTGTCACATGCATTTGTATCAAATGAATTCGGATTTTAACCTTACACGTTTCCTTGAGGGCTGCTATGAAGCTCTCAGCGTTTTGGAATGATCTCAGGTGTTGGGATGTTGCGAACACCTTTCGCTCCCCCTCTGCTCCCTTTGACACATGGGAGTTGTAGTCTTTGCGCTTGAGTTTTTTTTTTTTTTTTTTTTCATAAACTACATTTCCCAGAGGGCTCTCCGTCCGGCAGGCCGGCCCTGTCCTTCCGCGGCCGGCGCGTTCCGGCAGCGCCATGAGAGGTGAGTGCTCGGCGTTATTATCGTATCGCTCCTATTGCATCAGACCGGTTCGGTTCGGTGTCACCCCGCCACTGTCACAGCACTAGAGACACGTGGCAGTCCCTACGATGCGGGAGTCCCTTCGGATTTCTGGCCCGTAGCCGTTTGTAGGAACCTGTTTATCGTTCACCTTAACCTTGCCTGATCTTTTCCTGTGGAGCATCTTGGGTGTGTGCTAAAAACAAACTCTAGCCTCAGATCTCCTTAGGTTTAAAGAGTTTCGCTTGTCATGTAATTTTTTTTTAAATCCGGGCACTTCCATTTTAAAAGCAGCTTTGTATTTGACAAGAAATACTGCATCCTTTAACTTTTTCTCTTCCATAGTCCTTACTTGGTTCACAGCAGCTTTCAAATGGATCTGTAATTTTTGCTTTCTCTCTCTTGTGGGCCAACCCCTATTACATTTCTATTTCATTTTGCCTCTGAACATTTCCTTTTGAGAGATCTTTTGATGATAAGGGGCAGGAATGAAGAGTTTCCATCAGTTAAAGCAATTTAATTACCATCAAACTGGCTTAACAGCCTTTGGGGAGCATCATGACACAAGTTATTCTCAAAGCAAATTAGTTTATTGGGAGACTTTGTCCCTTCTAATTAATTCATATGGGAAATTAAACCTCTTCAGAGGGAATGCCTGACACGACTCCTGCTAAACAGCAAAACAAAGCAAAAATCGTTGCAAACAGAGTCACTGCTTAGATACAAAAAGCAATTCAGACTGTGGAGTCTATCCATTCTTCCCTGCATTTCAACTGATAATGACAAAAAGCCTTGAGAACTGAAGACTAACTGAGCCAAATCTACCTTTTGCTGCTAGTATCAATTTATTATCACAATGCTTGGAGCTGAACACCTAGACTTCAGATGCATCTAAGCCCTCAGTTGCCTGCCAGTACTAGGTCTTACAGTAAATGGAGCAATATTTAAATACATCTGAAGTTTAGCTGTTCAGGAGATCATCCCCTTTTATCATTAAATAGAGTTCTTCCTCTGTCTTCCACATCTTGTACAAGTCCCCCTCCATAGGGAGATTTAAGGAGGCAGAAATACCAGACAGAATTCTCAGGACTGTTACTTTCAAAGCTATTTGTACATTGGTTGCAAAACCATAGAGAGGCCAGAAAAAAAATAGTTTTAAAACAGTGAAATAAAGAACTGCAGACTGCTGGAGAGCCCAAACAAAATCAAAGTCCAAACCCATCCACTCATGTCTCAACAGGTCTTGCACACAATTCCAGGCTACTTAATCAGCAAAGCCATCCTGCCTGTCCTCAGCAGGGCGTGGAACTCCTCCCTTAAAGCAGGGTGTCCCTCCCATTCCTACCTGCCAGGCAGTTCCTTCTGCCCCACACACTTTGGATGATACCTCCTCTGTCAGAATGCCCCTGTGTCTGCTGGAGAAGCAAAGCAGTGCCCCTCCAGCTCCCCACTGACTCTGGGGAGGAGGGACCCACAAAAGAGGAGGTGCCAGAGGCATTTAGACAATGCCCTAATCATCTTCAGTCCCATTTCAAGGCCTGTTCTGCACCAAGCCTTTGTAAAAAAAAAAAAACCAACAACCAAAACACACCAAACAGGAGTAACTCCAGTCAAGGCCTTTGCCAGGAAAAAACCAGCATTTCAAGGTTGTTTTTCTCTCCCTTCCTACAACATATGTAAAGGATGGGGTAAGTATAAAAGACTGATTTGGAGCAGCAGAATGTTAAAAATGCAGAACAAGGGTCTCTTCTGGGGAGGAACCAACCAGTGCCTCTGGGGTGAGGTGCTTGGCCTTCCTGCCATTTCCTCTCTGGCCTGCTGCACGTACCTGGGAAAGACTTTACATGCACAGGTCTTTCTGGGCTCTTTACAAGTCCTCGTAGGCAGCCATCCTTCACACCTGTGTAGAACAGCAGGAGCCCTGCAAGTCAGAGCTGTTAACTTTGTGATCAGTGTTCCCCTGTTCCAAAAGAACATTCTGTCCTTGGATGGTGGGCTTTAGTTAGTTTCCGAAATAATTTGTTTCTTTACTAAAAAGAGAGCAAAGAATACTTTACAGCGTAATCTTCCAGAGAGTCGCAAGCAAATGGCATTAAGGACACGCTTTTTTACTTTCTTTTACCTGCAATGTGTTCTGTTCTTGCCTTTTAGCTGAACATGTTCTCTGCCACGAAGTGCTCTGGAGTTTTCAGAGCTGTCAGACTGCATCATTTCAGATCCTATTCTGTATCCAGAGCCTCTCCAAACTTGACTTTCGTGCCAGCCTGTCTTCCCCCGGATCCCATGGAAGTGGAGGAGCTGCAGCACTTTGTTTCTAACTCCAAGAGGCTGTTTGTAATGACTGGGGCTGGAATCTCCACGGAGTCAGGGATCCCCGATTACCGCTCTGAGGGCGTTGGGCTCTATGCCAGGACAGACAGACGGCCCGTCCAGCACGCCGAGTTCATCCGCAGCGCCAGCGCCCGCCAGCGCTACTGGGCAAGGAACTTCGTGGGCTGGCCCCAGTTCTCCTCCCACCAGCCAAACAAGGCACACCTGGTACTGAGAGAGTGGGAAAAGCTGGGCAAGCTGCACTGGCTGGTGACCCAGAACGTGGATGCCCTTCACACCAAAGCCGGGAGCCAGCGCATGACGGAGCTGCACGGCTGCACACACAGGTACAGCTGCTGCCACAGCGGGGTTGTCTGACAGGCAGCTGCAGTGTCAGCTGCTGAGAAAGGAGGCAAAATGTCCATGCTGCATTCCTGGAGATGACAGGCACAAAGGTGATGTTGGGCTGGGGTGGAGAAAAAGATCACAACCCAGTGCTGTTCACAGCACAGTATTTAAGAAACATGACCACCGCTCCATTTTTTTTGAGTATTAATTGGACCACTTTCCTTGAAGCCTGCATCCACTTCCTCTTTCCTTGGTACAGCAAATGTCCTCTTAGTAAAGAGAACAAGGGGATCATGAGGATGAATTGCATGGGATACATGTATTGGAGAAGGACTATCTCAGCCTGGCTGGGCTCACCCCAAATTTCTAGATGAAAAAGTACAGCCTGAACTGGGAGAGAGGATGTGTGGCAGAGTTGAAATCACTTCCTCTAGAGCATTCCTACAAAGCAACAGAGTAGAAAGACATCTCCTTGATCTGTACCATTTGGTAAATAAATGTGGAAAATCATGAGAGGCTCCTAAGGAACAAGTTAGAGTCTCCAGATCTTCAGCTGACATGAAACGCTCCATTAAGACTTTGCTCTGAATTTCAGGGTTTTCTGCTTGGCCTGTGGAGACCGAATCTTGCGTTCTGAGCTCCAGGAGCACTTTGAAGCTCTGAATCCCACTTGGAAAGCTGAGGCACTTGATGTGGCTCCGGATGGGGATGTCTTCCTGACAGATGAGCAGGTGCGCAATTTCCAAGTCCCAGCCTGCCGGAAATGTGGTGGAATCCTGAAGCCTGATGTGACCTTCTTTGGAGATACAGTGAGCCAGGAAAAAGTCAGGTTTGTACACCAACGCCTGGCAGAATCAGACTCCATGCTGGTAGCAGGATCCTCTATGCAGGTAAGTAGGTCAGCATCCCAAACTGCATTCCTACTTCTCTGCTACTCTGCCTGCAACAATCCTTGGTCTCACAGCTTAGGACTACCAATGGATCAGCCTTTGCAGAGCTTCTTTGTGTTTTATTTTTACTGTGGTTGGAATGTGGCTTCTTGGGTGACCTGTTTGGGCTTCCCTGTCACTCTCTTGCCAGTCTACTTCATGCCAGCTCCATTCAGACCTCTCTGCTGCCTCCTCCATCAGGTCACAATTGTCCATAAAGGCAAGATACCTGACGCAATTCAGTCCTCACATTTTTTTTACCTGAAATTTTTGGCCTTTGGTAGCTTTTTAGGCCTCATGGCACACTGTGTAAAATATCAGGTTTTAGGACCTCTCATTCCGTATTAAGTTATCAGTAAGAGAGCTGAAATATCTCTGCTGCTTGAGATTGTCCTTTGTATCATGATGTGTTTTCTCCACTAGTCTCTTATCTATTAGGTAAGGTAGCTAAACAACAGGAGTTTCTAAACCCAAAGAAGCTTTTGTAACAGTGTTTGTGTAAGATAAATTCTTCCAGGAACAAGTTCTTTTACATTAAAAAACGTTATTCTAACACCTCCCAGAAGGAGATAAAACCAAGGCTGCCTCATTGTTATTCTCTTGGCTTCAGGATACTGGATACAAATTCCTTGAGCTTGCCCTTCTTAAGCTTATAATCCTCTGTACAGGAATGATGGAATGATTGAAATGCCTTAGGTTTGTTCTTGTACTACCTCAGCTGGGCCATGCAAGAATCATCAAAGTGCAGCATATAAGTAGCTGTGATAACTAATAAAAACTGCTGCAGAGATTTACTAAAAAACAAGAACATTTCCCTTCAATCTGCTCTGAAGTTTCAGTTTTTATGAAATTGCAAATCCTTCACTGACAGAGGTTAAAAGCTGTTCTATTCTGTGCACTCCTGAACAAAGATATTTCCTACCTGAGCTCAGTGCAGCTGCCTAACACAGCATGTATGTACACTGTCCCATTACCATGACAATTATTTTATTCCTTTCTGTAACTCTTTGTTTGCCTAAGCTGTCAGTCATTTTGTCTTCTGGTACTCCTGCAGGTGTACTCTGGTTACAGGTTTGCTCTGGCTGCCCGGGAGAAGAAGCTGCCAATTGCAGTCCTTAACATAGGGCCCACCAGGTTAGATCACTTTGCATCCTTAAAGCTGAATTCCCGCTGTGGAGAGCTGCTGCCTTTGATAGTTTGCACATGACCCAACCAGCTGAGCTTCAGTAGCTGTCAGGATTAAAGTTATTTTTACAAGGTGAGTACCTTCCCTGGTCAGTCACCTTACAGGGTAACAATATGGCTTCCTAGCAAATGCTGAGACTGAGATGTGCTGACTGACAAAATGTTCCCTCACTGCACCAAAAGGTGGCTCTAAATTGTAATCTGCAGCTGGTCTGCCCATGATGGGCCATGATACTGTTTCCCATGATCATAAACAAAAAAACATACTAAGTGCTAGCACTCGCAAATAATTGGGTAGGAGTATCCAGAAGACTCAGTAGTGTAGAATTCCAATCCATTTGTTACTGTCAGAAAAGTACAGGGATCACCTGCAGTTCCAGAGAACCTGATCACAACTGTTGCCTTTGCAAGTGGCAATTAAAAAGCTGTTCCTGATTGAATTGGTCCAGCTAATCCTAATCAAACACTGCTGTTTAAAATAATCAATTCAGTCGATAAAGCAGCTTCTTTCTTTCTGTCCTGCAGGACTCATCTCAGAAAGGGGAAAATTCCGAGAGGCAACTGTGAGATCCAGTGCTGAGGGCACCAGGAGAGGGCAGCAAGCCTCACACGTGTCAGCCTCACCAGTTCTCTCCATTGAAACTATCTCCAGATAGCAAGAAACAGAATGATGATGGAAAAAAAGTGCTTTTCTGCCTTACCTTGCTGTTGTAAACAAAGCCTTTTCATTCATTGGGATAGAATAATTGGACTACCATGTCTGAGGACAAAATATCTTTCTTATAATTGTTCCCAGAGGAGAAGGGAGGGGACAGGGATTTTTAACCAGGTAATTTGAGGCTGTAGCACAGGAGGGCGATATGGGAAAGCAGGACACTGCTGGGGTATCCAGTGTCACTGGTGGGATACTGTACAGTGTGCAAAGAGGAAAAGGAGGCAAGAGGAACTGCAGTTATCACTTAAAAGGAAAAAGGTTCAAAATAGAAGCTGCACAAGAACACTGCTCTTATAACAGATTATTTGGAAGTACAGGCTATAAGGCTGACGTCTTCCAGCATGGAGGGGAAGTCAGCATTTCTCTCAACTCAGAAGTTGACAAGCTAAACTGCTTCCAATCCAACCCCTTTAAAAATTAAATATTGTTCAGATGCCAGAGGAGTTACTTTAAGCTAATCTGATGAGCACTACTTTCAGTGAGGCTGCTACATTTTCCAGAATGCACTTTTTGAAGATGTTGTTTAATTAATGAATAGCTAAGGAATCAATTAAAATTGTTTAGAAGACTGAGACTGTTTGCATTGTAATTTTCTCTCCCTCCTATGATTTATTTAAGTACATTCTCAGTAGCCAGTTTAGATTCGTTTTCTTCCATTGCAAAAATGCAGGTTGTAATTACTAGCAGCTGATGAATTAAGAGAGAAATACAATTAAATCTGTACAATAAGTCTCCCTCAGGAGGTAATCTCTGTTGAAAGGTGCAATTTCCACACTCCTAACAGGAGATCCATCACTACTGGGTAGTGATTTTTTGTTAATCCTTAGGATGGTATTGCAAGCTCTATCAGACTGTTTACAGTGTAAAATACAGATCCTGGCACAAACTAGAAGACTAAATTTTTGACCTGACCTTCATGAAACTACCACTCCCCCTTCTAGCTCTGAGGGGTTTAATTGTTGGGTTTCCTGAGTGCCCCCTCCTACTCCAACATGTCCTGAACTAATATTTTGACAAGAACTGTAACAAGCAGTAGGAAACAAGGATGCAAGAGTCATCTGCTAAAAGGTCAAGCAGCAAAGCAAGGACCACTGACCAAAGTTCATTTTTGCTTTGTTGTCAATTCAAATCCATGCCAGGAGAGAGCAAATAAAGCACAGAATTTAAGGCATACATAAGGCATCCAATTTCTGCAGAAGCTAGAGGGCATTAAGATGCTTAACACATTTCTAGATTTGGCTGTATTGGGTTAGAGGAGAGACAGCTTCACTCTGAAGCCGAGCAAGAGCAGTTCAGGACTCCCACCTGCATCCGGCTCTCATGGAATGGTGACTCCACTTTCCAATGACTCAGGTTTCTGCTGCTTGGCACTGAGCAAAGCTCACAAATACCTCTCCATCTTGAGCTGTCCTGTCCACAGTACAGCTGTCCCACCAACCAAAGCTATTGCAGAAATCATGCCTAAAGCACAGCAGAGTCTCCACATATACCATATTTTCATGTAGGGGTCTTCCCTGTAAGAAGAGACACTGATGGCGCCTTAGCAGAGGAGCTGGGGCTGAGTTTCTCAGTGTCCACATCATCTTCTCCCCCTCCTTAAAACTTGCATGACCTTGTCAAAAAGTGAGGCTGCAGGTAGAGCTAGCATTTTGAGAAGGTGTGGGAGCATTGCCAAGCAGTCTAAAACAAGTCTTGGAATGAATTCTGTGACAGGTAACTAAACCTCCCACATGTACCCTGCCTCTTCTCCAGTTCTGCAGCTGAGCCTGTGGGAGAGGAGTCAGGATGTGTCTCTTCAGCATCACTGTAAGATGAGTCATTACCCCAACTCTCCACCGATTGCACTTTTAAGCCACCAGGACGATGACTTACAATAAATGAACATTACAATAAACCTCCTGTGCATCGTTTATTACTAGATGGTAATGAGCATATCCATAACCATTATAGGAGGCTGGGATGAAGAAGTTCCTTCTTTTTTCTGCTAAGCTGATCCAGCACTACTAAAATTGACCTCTTCTAGAGCAGGATCAGAACACTTCTTAACATATTCCCCAAGATACCATTAAGAAGCTCACATGAGAAATGCCTGAGAGAGCCTAAAATTCCTACATCAAAGGTCATGACATGAAATTAGCTGAATCAACAGCTTTTGCTCTTCTCTTTTTCTTCCAGCTGTTCCTCCTGAAGCTTGGATAGAGGAGCTGGGAGTACCTTATAATGGATTTTTCTTCTGCTCCTCTGAAAGTGGGGTTGGAGTTATCCAAAGCAAATAAAAGTTACTTCCCATTTGGCAAATCTTGTCTTGGTTTCTGGGCAAATTCTTAGAGCAAACTGTAATGAGTCCAGCATCCTGAGGAAGGTATTTCACATGCTGAGCTCCAGTGAGGGCAGCACAGAATGTAGATGGCCCAGAGGGTTTGGTGCCTGTGGTGTAAGTGCAGCCTCACACATACTACAGTCAGATTGCTCCTATTGACGTACCTGCTTGTTCATTAGTTCTGGAAAATGACCCAAAACCCTGGACATGGAGAACTTGGGAGGTTCAGTGGAGTGAAAGTGACTAAATCTACCATCTAGAGTGTGCTTCTTCCCCTGTGACTGCCTTGGGTGTCGCTCTCTCCCAGGCTTTGCAGCAGGCAGGGAAACAGCAGAGTCAAGCCAGATGGGCCTTAAAACCACTGTTCTAGACTGTTCCTGCAATTCTGTGTGCAGCTCCCTGTCACCCCCCCATCTTACCAAGGAAAGATACCGCTTCCTGCACTTCTTCCCTTCTGCACCACTAACCAGACAATGGCAGAGAAAAAGAGAAGCTGGGGTGAAGAGGACGAGCAACAGTGCGAGTGTCTGGAATTGGTCCCAGGCCCAAAGAGAAACTGACACAGGATCATTACCATCAGCAGAATTGTTTGCTCTCTGCATGGCTCGCCTCAGCTGGAGCACTCTTTTTCATCTGTGCAATGCCCATGTAGTTAAGAGTAATTCAGCTCTCCCTGCAGAGAGTGAGAAATCTTGGCATAGAAAACGGCAATAGAGAAAAGAGAAGAGACTGAGACTTCACTTTTGCAGTGAGCCCACGGAGCTGCTCTCTCTCCGGCATCCTATGCAGCAGCTGTGGTGCTGTGTAGGGTCTCAGAGCTCCCCCTTGCCGAGCACAGGGATACCTGGCATTCCAGGCAATCCCATTCTGGTTTGGAACACAAGTACAGGCCAGCATGGCAGAAGATCTTCACGCACTCCTTGTACTCCCCTATGCTGGCAGTTCAAGCAGTTAGCAGCCCTGCTCTTTACTCTTCCCACAACGTTCCTCAAAGCCCTAATGAGCAGCTTTGCACAACCCCTTCAGCCTCCCCACCTGTGCTGTTCGTCAGGGCCTGACACTGCATTATGTGGGAAGACTCCCTATGGATAGGGAATGTTTGGATTTAATGGTAGGGCTTTCACACCATCAAAGTGGCATGGAAATGAGAATTGTGATCAAGGGACCAAACGTAAGAGCAGGCTGATAAAATCTGTATGGAGTAGAACAGATATGGAATCAATTTGAGCCTTCATCTATCTATGGAATGCTAGCATGCTCCAAATGCTGAATGCCAGGAGTAGGTACTGCTCACCTCAAATCTAGAGTTCCTGTTACAGGCAAAATTCATACTAACAGTTTCTGAAATGCTTCCAATGCACCCCAGCAATCTTCCCTACTTGTGATAATACAGCTCAAAAGTGAAGTGTTCCCTGCAGATAGGGATGATATTTTACTTTTTTTCTTTACAATGAGGTTTATCACAAGGGGATTTTAGTAACATTTACTTAGGAGCTTTACTGTTCTACAAACAATGATTTCAGAGACTCTAAGCTAGTGAGTGAGTACAAGAGACCTCATCTTGCTCTTCCAGCCCTGAGAATGATTCATTTTGGATCACATCCAGGATCCTCAAGATTTCTGTGGAGGACTCCAAGCACTCAATGTTTCCAGAAAGTCATGCACACAAACACCTGAGCAAAAATAAACAACGAATACTGGTACAAAACTAGGAGTGAGTCTGCCATAAAATGGAATGTCTGGCTGTGACACAATCCTTTCCCCTTTTCAAGGAAAAAAAGAACTAAATGCAATTCACTATCTTTTCTCATTATCATTCTAATGTCCTTAAAGATACATTTACTTTCAGTAGGATGGCATTGCAAGCACCTTCCAGTAACATACCAAGCCAGCTTCTTCCTTCTCCATTTGTTTCTCATTTCCCAGAGCACTCTCAGATCCTTGAGGTCTGCTCCAAGTTTGGGTACAGTTCATCCTGTTGATGAACGGGGGCCCTCATGCCCCCCAGCAAGCAGGGGGGTGTGTAGACCCTGCCCCAGGAGTTCACCCACACATCCAAAAACCTCTGCCAGCAAAACCGGTACGAAGGGTGGGGGACAGCTTTGGCACAGGACCTTGGCAGGGCTGGGAAAGTGGGGCAGAGACTGTCCCTCAGAGCGGCTCCTTGCCCTCCAGGCCAACCCTCCTTCCTTGCAGCTCCTGACTGAGAGCAGCGCCGGGCAGGGGAAGGGCTCCCCAGGGTAAGCACACAGGAGACCCTCAGGAGAAAGGAGCACCAAGCAGCTCAAGACCCTCACGCAGCGACGCCCCCGGGGAAGAGGGACAGCTGTGCTGTGGATAACGCGTGGGCAGCCCTAGGCGAGGGCGGCTGAGGGAAGGCGTGAAGGGCGCCCTCAGGAGTCCCGGGAAAGTGAGGGCGGCCGTGAGGGTGAGGGCGGGCGGAAAGGACTCCCTGAGGAGCCGCAGGCGGGCAGGAGGGGAGCGCTAAGGAGTCTCGGGAGGCTGAGGGCGGGCACGGTCGGTCGCCCAGCGGAGCCTCGGGAGGCTGAGGGCGGGCAGGATGGGTTGCCCTGAGGAGCCGCAGGACGCTGAGGGCAGGAAGCCGCAGTCTCGCCCTCAGCAGCCCCAGCCCGCGCGTACCTGAGGGGCGGGGCGAGGCCTCGAGCAGGTGCGCCCCGCCCCCGCCTCCTCCAAGAGCCAATCAGCGAACGCGGGGGCGCCGCACGCGCCACACGGGGCCGTGGGCAGAGGGGGCGGGGCCTCCCTCACGGCCCACCCGCCGCCCCATCCCCTCGGCGCGGCAGTGGACAGCAGTCGGGAGTGCCGGTTTGGATTATTTATTTGGTTGGTTGGTCCTGCGGCCGGCCGGACGCACATGAGGGCGATTACTTGCACAGTTTGTCGTCCACGTTCTTGTGATCGGGGTTGTAGGGCGCCTTGGCGAAGCACTCGGCAGCAGCGCGGTCGCAGTTGCAGATAAACATGGCGCACTCCTTGTTCTTGCCTGGAGGAGAGAGAGGAGCGATCAAAGCCTGGCTCCTTCGCCCCGCGCTGCAGTGGCTCGGGCTGGCATTTCTGCTGCCACAGTGTACTCGTTTCAGTATTGCCATCGCTTTGGGGGTGCTTCTGCCCACTAACTCCCTGCCCCCAAAGCTGTGTGTTCCAGCCAAGCCGTCTCTCTCCTTGCCCCTTCTTCCTTTCCCTGCAGCCCTATTTGCCAGCCTCTCTGCTCTTTACCTCCCTTCCAGAACCCTGTAAAGGCTTCACTATTTATAAGAGGTGTCGTGTCCAGCAGAAACTATTTATCATTGCAAAGTTAACATGCTGATCTCTTGGATACTGCCATTAGAAGGCCTCCCAGTAAAGTGCTCAATCCCCTGAAAACCAGACAGGCTTCTCTGTATCCTGCCATACCGTATATCTTCATAAACTTTAAATTGTGGGCTATATAGAGAATACTCATTCCAGTGCCTGTATGAGGTGCTCTCTAACAACCAGGTCTCCTGGCAGGAGCTTGCACTGTGCCTTCCTGCCACAGAGGTGTGAGTGAAACAGCCCTGCTCCTTCCTGAGAGAGGCTGGAGAACATCTGGAGTGAAGTGGAAATGGACCTACTGCTACATGTGATCTTCCCATCAGAACAGCTGTACTGGTAAGACTTAGTGTAGGGGTTGTCCAGGAGGAATCTGCAGGCTTCCAGTTTCTTTGCCTGTGAGTAGCAGTTATCATGTACTTGGCAGCACCTGGGAAACAAGGAGAAAAAAGGTTAGAAAATACCAAAATCACAGGGTCAACTGACCTGTAAGACGTACAAATATGCTATATTTGCTTTAGCAAGGCTTTTGACAATAGAAGAAAGATACCCAGCAATAAGAGGGCAGACACAAAGGACCTCAAAGGGATACAAGTTGTGCTGGCTCATGGTCCAAGACGTGTCTGGTACATACATACTTATGGGAGCATCTTCACAGTTGCTCATTGGGCACAGGGGAAGCAAAAGCCCGTGCCTACCCTATACTTCTCCCTCAGTGCCTGGAAGCTGACAAGCTCTCAGCCAACACAGTCCAAGACTTGGCTGCCAGATTTGTGTATCTCTAAATTGTCCATGCCATTTCCTAGCATTTTGCAGCCCAGCCATGTTGATGGTCAAGCACCGGGCAAAGTGTGCAGAGCTGTATCCAGGCTGCTGGCCCAGCACTGCTGCAAAGAAAATGCTGGAATGAGCACACTGTGCTGCCATAGAAGGGAAGAACTACTGTAATTATATTTTATCTTAGTAATAAGGTATGATATCACACATCCTTTTTCCCCTGAATCCATCTGTGAAAGAAAACTTTGTTCACAGCAGCCAGAGAGTTTTGTAAGCATTCATAGGCAGAGCCAGCTGAGATGAAGCCGAAGCAGGAAAGTACAAGCAAGGAAAGAAGTTCGTAAAAGCAGAGTCTTATAAACCTGTCGAGCTCATCCACTGGAGTGCCGCTGCCCCCCAGGCCGCAGTAGCAGCCGTAGCCGTTGAAGTCCAGCAGTGGGTGGCTCTTGGGCAGGGTGCACTTGATCAGCTCACGGAACAGCCACACAGCCCGGGGCGACACCTCAGCGCTGGCTGCGCCCACTGGGGAGAGACACAGAGCGGTTAAAGTCAGGTTCAGGGTTACCAGCGAGAGGATGAGGGCATCTACGCACCTGACAGCAGAAAAAGCAGGGCTAGGAACTTCATTCTTGCAGCACTTCACACACACTGGTGCTAAGGGAGACGAGTCTTTATACAACAAGCTCACCTTGACATGGGTATGAGATAAAACAGCCAGTATTTATGTTACTAAATGCAGACTTTTTCCATCAGATGCTGTGGGCAGTAGGTTGTGGCGTGACCAGTTGAAGGCCAATTGAGTTAAATCCATAAAAGACAGAAAGGCAAATATTTGCTCTCTAGATTTTTGCTATTAAATTCTTGTAGTGCTATTATTAGAAATCAGCCTGAAAGATCTGGATATTTTTAAGGGCTCTTACTAAAAATCAATAGCAGTGTGGTGGTTAAGTTGGAAGTTTCTGGCACACTAATAACCACCTGCCACTTGCATCCTCTTTTTATGGTATCCCACTTATCATTAATCCTGTATCTCTCCATGAGTTCTCATGGCATAATTCAGAGAATAAGCTACATGTTGTCCACTCATATCAAATGACCATTTCGCATGAGCTCAACTGAAAAAAAATCAAGCTGTTCTTTACTTTAAAACCACAGAGGAGGAGGTACTCCTAGGCAAGAAACAGGAGCCAACTGACCTTGAAAACCTCTGTATGTAGCTTAAACAAGGAGAAGTATCTGGTTTTATGTGGTCTTAAGCAATCTAGACTGGAAATGAACCAGGCTTAGAAGTTTCAACAGACACAGCAGACTTCAGTGACTTAGAACAGTTTCTCTTTCTCCAACAACAGTGCAGAATCCAGTTAAGAACCCTTGGTTCTCTATGTCGAGAGATGAGGAGAGTTGGGAACCTTGAAAGAAGTTCAAAAAATGGGTAAGGAAAATCTTCCTGGAATCAGTCAGGAGTGAGTAAAAACACTGCACTCAGATCCCAGAGGCTCTGGCATTTTCAGGGCTACAGGTTTGGCATTCTTACACACTCAAGCTATGGTTCCTAGACACGGTTGTCAAGTCTGCATTGATTTCGAAAGCACCAAACAAACCCTCAACTTTTAAGAGCAGAGCAGGAGGCCCTGTCGTACTTTTCTGCAACAGCCCAATACATCAGAGTGCTCATGCAGGAAATTGGGCTCACCATCCACCAGTAGGTTCCAAAAGGGCTGATGAGGACACTTTCCTCCTCACAGGGTCTGAAACTACACCAGGGTACCCACAGTATCCACTGGATGTTGACATATCCATAGGACATCTCCGTAAAAGCTAGACATGGTGCTGAACAACCAGATCCATTCTGACTTTTTTGATCTCTTCAACCATTCCCATTCTGAGGCTCCTCACTCATGGGTTACCTACAGCCAAACAGAGGCCGAGTTGCAAATTTAAGATTCTCACTGTTCTTAGTATTGAACAAACATTAAAGGCTGATGTAAAGGACAGTCTGCATCACAGTTAGTTCAGAAAAAAGAATTCTGTCTTTTGCCCACAGATCATTCTGCCAACTTCCCCTTCAATATTCACTTAAAGAGTTCTCTATCTTCTCTGTTTTTACCATTAAAAAATTGTTTTCTTACCTATGAAACTTAGGAGTCTGATTCCTTTTTCCTCTGTTCTCAGTATCTGATATATTATTGATGTTTCCTAGAAAGTTCCAGTCAACTGGCCTTTTAAAAATCATAAATCAACAGTTGCCTACATTTTTAGTTCAACGAAAGGATCACCAAGTGTGGGAAAGCTAGCACATGAGTATTACAAGAGTGCCTCATGAGAAAAATCCCAGCAGGGTAAAGATTTTTCCACCAATGCTATTTTTGGTTTTCCCCAACCTGTGCTGTATACAAAGCCACTGGTCCTTAGCACACTTGTGAACTCATTTCAACTTATAACTGGTTCCAACTTACAGGCTTAAGCCTTAAATTATTTTTAAGACTTTTCTTATAAGCCCCATTGCAGAGTTCCCTACTATTCCACACTGTTAAAATTCTCTCTTTTGTCTGCTAAGGACTTTACTTCCCATCTCCACATTTTACTTCCTTACTCTATCTTCCTTGGTCCACCACAGTCAATTGAATCCAGGGTATGAGCCAAATCTGTAAGCATCATATTATCTCCTTTTCTGAACCTACAAATACTTACACAAACCTTCCATAATGTAAATAAGAGACACAGTCTCTACTGAAACCAGATCTGCCTCACATTATAAACTGGGCCACTGCCGAAGTGTGGGAGCAGAACAGTGAGTCAGAGACCTGCCTGGGGCTTTTATCCTTAAGGCAGCGTTCAACTCCTGCCAGGTCCTGAAACCTCCCCCACTGGAAAACCTCGCACCCCTGAATAATGACAGAGAAGGACAGTTTTCAAATAATTTATTAGGAATTTAAAACTGAAATCTGGAAAAAGGGTTACAGGTGTGGAGAGAACAAACACTGGAGTGTAATAACTTACTGGCTTAAAAACACAGCTTTATTTCTTTTTAAAAAAATGCCCACCCTGAAACCAGAGCCCCAGCCTCCAGGCAGTGGCCAGAGAGTGACTCACAGCCCAGCAGCAGCACAGCTGGCCCGGGATGTCTGGAGGGGGCACGGAAGCAGCTCAGCGCATACACCAAGAGGGAGGAAAGCGCTGTCCGCAGACCCAAATTTGAAGTATATAGAATAAAAATAAACCCAATAAAATGCAGCTCTTCTTTAATTAGGAAATATTTAAAAAAACAGACATACAGACTCTTGTCTCAGTAACAAAAATTATTGCTTTGTGTTTTCAGTACTGATCTGTTAAGTACCTTTTTACCTAAACAGAACTCTCCAAACGCATCGCCCAGGTCAGGACAAATTCCAGCAGATGGGGGAGAGACAGAAGAGAAAAAGGGCCCTGTGGGCACTGTGGCCCTCCCAGTCCTTTTCTAAATGCCCATCTCCTTTACAGGGGCTCAGTTTGGGGGAAGAGAGGGAATGATTTTTAAAACTTAAGATGAAGCTGTTATTTCCCTGGGAAAAGAGTTTGGCTGCATCTTAATAAAAGGCTTAATCACCCCCCTTAACAAGGTCTTTGGTTCACTGAAATCCAGACCCAAACCTGCCCCATGTATTCCTGCTGGAGGCCTCCCCTGGCAGAGTGCTGGTTAGCAGGGGCCTGGACCAAACCGGGGGAAGCCCCAGCAGGTTCTGGAGAAGGGACCAGATCACCCCACACAGGACAACGGACAAACTCCCACAGTCTTCAGAACACAGAGTAAAGCAAACGGGAAGCTGCAATTCTATAATTCATATAATCCCTGAGAAGCCCTTAACCCGCCCCCAAATCACCACCCTAATGCTTTTCTCCCCTGTTAATGAATCCCCATCCCAGAGCCCTGCCCTTCAGAGAACGACTACCCAAATCTCCCCCTGGATGACACCCCTTCCGACACCCTCGCCTCCAGAGGAGGATCCCCTTTCCCAGGAAATCTTGACACAAGCGATAAAGTTTGGAGAGTGAATTCCTTTCAAAGTAACCAAGACAAGCAACGGCGGCAAAGCCCTTTCCCTAAGCCAGCCCAGAGCCGGCGCTACGGAGCCCAGGGATGGAGTCTGTACATCAAGCAATTGGAAGCAGCTTTAACCCGCTCAGCAAAACAGCCGATGGCTGGTACGTTTCACCCCGCCCGCCCCCCCGCCCCCCTTTCAGCTCATCTCATCAGAGGTCTTAAAATCTTACAGTAAAAGGTGTACAAAAAAAAGAACGAAGTCCTGTCAGGATTCTGCTGGAGAGTATTGCTCACGCTGCGGCACCAAGTCCAGGACCTGGAGCTGCTCCTTGGAGCCAGGCTGCAGGCAGCAGCCAGGTTCAGCTCACGATATTTACATATTATACAGGAGGAAAAAGAAAACCCCACATAAAACTAAACCTAGGAAAAAAAAAATCTTTCAGCTGTAAGGATAGTGTTTTTCACTTAGCAAAATATACATTTGTTTTGTTCCATAGCGATGTCCAACTTTTCGGATCCTTGGAGTTTCACACTTTTCAAAGCCTCACATTTACAAAACAGAAACAATTAAAAACAGTTTCTTTAAAAAAAATAGAAATACAGCAGTTCCTCTCAGCCTTTGCTCTCTCTCTGTCTCTTTCTTCCCTTCAGAACTGCATTCTTGTTACATACCGTGCTTTAAAAACACTGACGACAACAACAACAGAGTTGAAAATATTCAAAACAGTTTCAAAGCCAAATAAAAATACTCCTCAATGAAAACTACCTAACACAATCACAAAGCCAATTCATAAAATATGTCTACTAGCTCGGGAAAGAGCAAACAACAAAAAGAAGGGGCAGCCCCCAAAAAAGATAAAAAAATAAAATAAAAAAATAAAACTAACAGCTAATAAAATAAATAAAAGAAGAATCAGTGGGCTGGGGGCAGGGAGGGGGAAGCGTAAACCGTCGGTGGTTAGTAGGAAAGCGAGATGATCTCCTCGGGTTCAGTCCAGTGTGGTCTGGTCAAAGGGAGAGATCGGGCAGGGCGGCAGGAGCCTGGCAGCCAGCCGGCAGTGTGCAGTTTGATTCAAGAGAAAGGTAACCTTGGCTCATCCCCCGAGGCTCACCAGATCCTCCAGCCACTTGCTGTCCTCGGTTAGGTCACTGGGGAATCTGTGGGACACAGCAGGGGAGGGAAGGGACACGATGTAGAACAACCACAGCTTTGCTCTTGGGAATTTCTTCCGGTGTGATCTGACAGAAACACTCAAACTTTGCCCCAATGCAGTCTTGCTCTGCATATCACTGGCACAGGGACAGGGCACAGCAAAGATATTTCTGTCTTCAATGGCAAGGTGAAGGCCTGGGAAACAAGGTCCCACACACCATGTGGCGTGGCCTGGCCTCTGCAAGGGCTGGGACAGAGTCCAGCCATCTCCCCAGCACTCAGCTCAGACCAGCCCTGCCAGGCTGCCCCGGGCTCCTGTCTGTGGACACCACTCCCTCCAGTTTTTTCTATCCTTTTTGAAAAGCTGGTTGTTGACTTTTTTAAATTTTAAGTCAGCTAACTTCAGTCATATTTGCAAAGCAAACGAAGACTATCCAGTTCCCTCTCAGCCCATCTAAGAACCAAAACCAGAACTGATCAGATTTTCCTTCTGCCCTTCTCCCAAGAAGGAGAT